TTCTTCATCTGAAAGATGAGAGTGGTAATATCAACCTCAAAGGACTATCAAGACACAGTGTCCAGTACATAGTAAAGGATCAGTAACTGTTAGGTATTATTATTACTCAAGGAATAACTGCTCCCCTGCAAACCTTCTTTTTCCCAGAGTGAAATGGCAAAAGTCACATCTTTCTATACCTTTTAGAGTATATAAGCAAGCTCAGGAAGCACTCTTTTTCCAAAAACCGCTTTATAATGTACAGTCTACCTTAAAAAAAAAATAAGACAACTACAACGTACAGAGCACCTTCTATGTGCCAGGCTCTGCCAACAATTTTGCCCCTTGGGTAGCATTATCTCCATTTTAAGATAAGGAAACTTACAGTGCACTGTGCCCAAGGTCGCATGTCCATCAGTGGCAACGTCGGGTTTGAACCTGACCTCACTCTGGAACCCATGCGATGTTGCCTCCTTAAAGCTGGTTAGTAACTGTCTGTTCATGAGCTAAAGCTCCTGAAACTTCCTTAATTTTCCAGAGTTAAAAATCCAGGTCAGTATTTCTAGGCAAAACCTGTTTACATAAACAAGCCTTGCAGTTCACAATGCTCTAACTTTCATGGAGAACGTCAGTAAGAAATGGCAGGAAATATTTCACAAATGTAACTCATTAATCCTCAACCGAACATAATCATGCTCAAAGGAAGTAATGCTTTATAACTTCTAAGGCAAGAAACGTCATTTTCTTAGTAAGGGTGCTTTCGTGCTCTTGGGGTATTTGTCTCTGCTCCCACTCTTATCTGATCTGAAGCCTCAACTAATTTCATCGACACCCTCAGATTCAGATCAGCGTCTTAGTTCACCTTTCACGCCACAGAGCTGTGCCCTCAAGGCTGGGCCCCAGAACTCCTAGAAAAAGAATGCTGTCTTGGTCATGGCATAGAACACAAGGCTTTGCATGAAGCAGGTTCTCCGTAAATGTGATTTGAAATCATGCAAATTGCTATTGTTGTGGTATTTACAAAGACATGAGGGAACCTGAAAGTCATGATACCTGTTTTGTTTAGGTAGCCCTGCCCTGGAGAATAGGGAAAGGGCCATCTCTGACTGTTTGGCAGAGGGAACCCAGCATATCGATACACACCACTGTGCTCATGCAGTTTACAAAGTGACACCAGAGACTCCTGAATTCCTCTAATGGTTCAGCTTAGTAAATAGTTTTGAGGATCCTGTTTTGTACCAGACACTATCACAGGTGCTGTGGAGCTCAGAAGAATGAGACCCTCCCCACCGTTAATGGAGCTGATTTTCCAATGGGCAGAGGAAGTGCATGAGTGCTGACTACGTTTTTTGTTTTTTTTCTAGGATGGGCAAATTTCTACTCTGTATGTTGAAAACTGTTCTGCTGTTGCAAACGAATCATTGCTTACATCGATTAATTTTCCGTAGAGCCCTAGATAACTTAACAATGTTTGGAAAATAATCATCTGGGTTGTTTTTTTTTCCTTTATCACATCTTTCTTATTGAATGTCAAAGCCATTAAAGACTAATTTTCACAAAGTCTCTCAAAATATCCCACCTTTTGGAGATACATGAAGCAGTAAGAATAAATTATTAATCATACAAAATATCTTTGCAGCGTAAGTTTGAATTGGTAACTTTGCATATTGAGAAGTTGAAATTACAATACATACGAAGGAAAAAATGCTATTCAAGCCCCCAAAGTCATGACTTAGCCATCCTCTTGTTTTTCCTATTTGCTCTTTGGTTCACTGCCGCCTTCCATAGCTATTTATTTTAATCCATTTCTCCAACAGACAGTAATCAACTTTAGAACTTCCGTTGAGCCCTTCCCTTCAACACAAGCAAGGCAGATTTATTTTTTTCTGTTAGAATTGATTTCTCTTTCCCTTTTCAAGTCTGCTTTTCATGAGTCACAGGTGAAGCACAGAACACTTGCAGGGTGTACAATTTAGCCCTTGAATCCCTTCCATTTCCCCAGGACCACGCTGACCAGCACGTGAACGACGAGATCATTGTGCGGTTTTAGAGCTCAATGAGACTGAGCCTGGACCAGAGGAGGAGGAGTGACCAATGGAGACCTGGGGATTTCAAAGACACAGGCTCAGACGGGAGTGGGGACCTGAACAGGGAGCAGGGACGCTGTAGCTCCACCTTCCTTGTGAGCATGGCGGTGACAGCACACCACTGATGATACTCAGAGGTAAGGCAAAACTACCAGGTGAAAAGGTACAGACACTGGCCTCTTCACACCCACCCAAGTTTTCACTGTTCTGCCCAGTGTTTCAGAAGTTCCTCCCCCATTGGCAACAGAATGACCCCCAGGGCTCTGAGAACCCTGCCCTCCTCATTCCCCAGGGGAAGGAAGGTGAGCTCCGGGCTAGCTTCCCTCTAAGGGCCTCCTGGTGCCTAGTCAAGTCCCAATGCTCAGATTCTCTTTCCTACACACAAATCCAACAGCTTCCTGCCCAAATGCCTCTTGATAACTCCCTGCCTCCCTCGTCCATCTCCAGGGCTACTATCCCAGGAGCCTTCCAGATGTTTCCCAAGCACCTGACTCCCATGAGACCTCACTGCCATCAGCAGGAGGCCCAGAAAAGAGACAACAGGCTTGAGGTCCCTCTGAGACCAAGAAGCTGGGTCAGCTCTGGAAATCAAAGAATAAAGGAAGCTATGAGGCCCTAGGGGTCAGTTATTTGTGCAGCTGAGGACAGGAAAAATACCATGTAGAGCACTTTCTGCTTGGCCCCTAGCCTGCCTGGGCCCCTAGGGGCTGTCACTCCCTTTGGAACTGCCCTGTGACTCATCTTTGACCCCTCTGGTCCACAGTGTGCTCTCCTTTGGGAGAGCTTGAGGGTACTTCCTGTCCTCACTAGGAACTCGATTTTAGGCTGCCTTGGGACACCTCTTGTATTGTTCATTAGCAGTCACATCATGATGTAACTTCTTTCCATGGGATATATGATCCCTGTTCCTTAAAGGCAGGGGAGCCCCTGGCACTGGGTGGCAGGCAATCTGGGCTGCTGACATGACCATGACTAGGAAGATGGGTTGTTCTTGTGTCCACACCTACAATGCATGGTGGGAAGTGGGGATGGACGATGATAGGAAGAAATCTTGTTCTGAGTGTATGCAAATGAGCAAATAGAATCAGGCACTTTTAAATAAGATAATGGAATCTAAAATATTTTTCCTTAAATAATTTGGCCACTCCTTTAGACACCAATATTCTAATTTTCTTAATCCTTCATGCCAGTCTGCATAGGTAGATGCCCCTTGACCATAGGGAAGAGTGGTGTGGCCCTCACAGGTCTGGACAGAGGTGTCCTTGGGAGAAAGGGTGATGGTCTGCAATGGCCAGAAGCTGTATATGTGTCACTTTCTGTCACTGCTAACAAAGAACCTTTACTCAGAACATCTGTCCTTGTTCTGCAGAAGTGACAAGTTGTGTCATTGTAATCTCCCATTATTGTCCTTTGGCACCATTAAATAATGCATTCACTCATTTATCTATCAAATATTTACTGAAAATCTACTGCTCCATGTGCAAGTACTGGGCTAGAAGCTTGGAATATGAAGCCATAAAGTGCAGTTACTGCCCTCAAGCAGTGCTCCTTCCAAAGGAGGTGACAAATATTGGGGGGTTTTTTGGGTTGTCGGAAAAGTCATTTAGTATTTTTTCTGTTTCTCATTGCAAAAATGCATCATGACTTTTCCGACAACCCAATAGCTACGTGACACGGTTAGGTTATAACACAAATGCTACAGGACTAGAGGAAGAATCAGGGAAGGCACCCAGGAGCTGCATGTAGCACGTGAACCCAAAGGTTCTTGGGTTTTGGAAGAGGAGTTAGCCACCCTTTAGGTGGAGAAGAGGGAAACATATTCAAGGCAGAGGAAATAGTTCATACCAAGGCAGGGAGGCATGAAAGAGCCTCGTATATACTGAGAAAGGCAGACTGGTCTGTTGGAATGGACTGTCAGGTGTGTGTGTGTGTGTGTGTGTGTGTGTGTGTGTGTGTGATGTTTTGACATAGTATTCTCTTAAGGATCTACAGCTATCCTGTTATAAAATGCAGTATCCGCTAGACACATGTGGCTACTGAACATTTAAAATGTGGGTAGTCCAAATTGAGATAAATGTAAAATACATACCAGACTTTAGAAGATTTTATACAACAA